ATGTATGTATGTATGTATGTATGTATGTATGTATGTATGTATGTATGTATGTATGTATGTATGTATGTATGTATGTATGTATGTATGTATGTATGTATGTATGTATGTATGTATGTATGTATCTATGTATGTATGTATGTATGTTAAAACCAAAACATGATGAGTGACACTGAACCGTCAAACATCAAGTAACAAATGGATTAACACTTTGATTTGTCGTTAATTGCACATGTCGGCATTCAGTTGTATATTTTCAAGCACACAGACACGCAGGAACCGCTGCAACAAGCACGAAATGTGGTTGGTTGCAAAAAACAGTTCCCTGCTGTCGCCTGATCTGACACTGATCATTTTGCATATTGCCTTAAGAAATTTAAGGGTGTTGGGGTCTATCGGGCCGAGAACCTCGATACATATTGGCAAGAATTCCATCGAGGGGAGGGCGTTCCCATATTTTTTCATTTTCTCGTCCGTTGCCCTGGCCGCGGCCAAACCGCATTCTTTACTTGTCAGGTTTACGTATCGTTCGGCGAGGGTGCCAGGGACCGTAACATCCCACGCCAAACATCTGCCGGCTCTCCAAGGTATTAGTGTGCATCCGTTCGGGCGCCTACCATCATGCGCAGAAATGCCGGATGGTTCCTTGAGAACCGGGATTGAAGCCCTGGAGAAGAGCCGACAAATGTATTCGTTTAGCGCTGAGTGACGTAGTTGACGGCCTTCACCCAGGCAACAAACCAAACCGTGGTGCCCAAACTCGTCCGCCTCTGCGCCACATCGGCACGTGTATTTATTCTGAATGACCAGGCCAAGTCTGAAGCCAATGGCAAATCTCACAGTCTCGTCGTCAAGCCTGGTGCCCACAGAGGTGTTGGGCCACGATCTCAACCGGAAAAGTCGTTGCCGCATGAAGACAACAAATTTTGAAAGATTTTTTTATATTCTTCGTTCAAAATTTAGACGTGCGTACGGTCCCCCGGGGTGGACACTGGGGGAAGAATATCGCGGCAACGAAAAAACCGGTGGAGCAGGGAAGACTGCAGGTCGAGAATGGCAGCGGCAGAAGAATTATAAACAACTGGAGCCAGCTGAACCACGCTAAGCAACCCCCCACCAAATCGCACCGGCAGCTGAGCCTGGCAGCTGTATGTATGTATGTATGTATGTATGTATGTATGTATGTATGTATGTATGTATGTATGTATGTATGTATGTGTATGTGCGCGCGTGAATTTTATAGTCGTTTGTGCAAAACCAGGACTGTAGCAATGTATGTTGACGTTGAATGCGGTATAAGCAATGAGGTGTGGGATATTTGTTGTTGTTTGTTTGTTTGTTTGTTGTTGATGTTGTTGTTGTTGTTGATGTTGTTGGTGGTGGTGATGATGTTGTTGTTTTTGTTGTTTGTTGTCATTGTTGTTGCTTGTTGTTGTTGTTGATGTTGTTGTTGGTGATGATGTTGTTGTTGTTGTTGTTATAATAAGAATCATACATTTTTTTTATATATTTTAAATAATCAGATTACTGCTCTGCTGAAACGTTTGAGCCCGACTGCTCTCAAGCAAATAATAATAATAAAAATAAAAACAATAAAAATTTTGCAACCGGAAATAGTAACGAGAATGACGATGACGTCAATAATGTCTTTAACTTCAACCAATTGAAAGAGAGAATTTTGAAACAAAAACAACTTACCCAGTCGACTGACAAACTGAACAATAAAAGTAACAATAATAATTATAGTAATAATAATAATAATAATCACCATCATAACCATCACGGGCATCACAATCATCATCATAATCGTCGACAAACAGCTCAAAAACTCGGCAACCAATCATCGTCCTCCGATCATAATCGTCATCATCACACATCCTCTCACTCTCCGACTCTCTCCTTCCTTACTCCTCATCATCTTCATCATCATCATCATCATGGCGATCTGACCAACCACCATCATCATCACCACCGTCATCGTCATCATCATCAACCGCCTAAATATGTCGTCAAGATCACCAACGCTCGCTACGGCCGCATGAAAATCGGTCGCTGCATCAAAATCGATTTCGGCTTCCTCGGCTGCTATAGCAACGTGACGTCATATTTACAGCGGAAGTGCAGCGGAAGAACTACTTGCTCGGTCAACGTGCCCAACCGGGATTTGAACCAGCACAAAACGTGTATCGGAGATCTCATCAAGTATCTGCAAGTTGAGTACGAGTGCGTGCCAGGTTAGCTGGTTGAGTGAATGATTGATTAATTAGTTGCCTGACTGACTGATTGACCGACCGACCGAACGGTTGATTGGTTAATTGATTGATTGATTGATTGATTGATTGATTGATTGATTGATTGATTGATTGATTGATTGATTGATTGATTGATTGATTGATTGATTGATTGATTGATTGATTGATTGATTGATTGATTGATTGATTGATTGATTGATTGATTGATTGATTGATTGATTGATTGATTGATTGATTGATTGATTGATTGATTGATTGATTGATTGATTGATTGATTGATTGATTGATTGATTGATTGATTGATTGATTGATTGATTGATTGATTGATTGATTGATTGATTGATTGATTGATTGATTGATTGATTGATTGATTGATTGATTGATTGATTGATTGATTGATTATTATTAATTATTATTGATTGATTAGGATTGCAAATTTCGATTGGCTAATAACTGTATGAATGAAGGAAGGAATGAATAAATAAACGAATGAAAGATTGGATGAA